TGTTAAAGATACAGTTACTGACAGAGGGTAGTTTTCAGCTTCCTGGGGTCCTTTTCTTATTTTGATAGATGGCAGGGCTTTCTCATGAACATAAAAAGTACTTTTCATAGGTTTTTTTCTACCAACTACATAGTATTCTGTTAACTGACAGACTCTCTCATAACTCCCAAGACTTAGGTAGGATTTGAATTATTACAATGCTACTTTTTCTTTCTTGGTTAAAGGCTTTCTATTCACGTGTGAAAAGCCTGAAGGTACAGGAAAGGCAATAGATTGAATTTTGGAGGTTTTATAAATGCTCTGCAAGGTTTTCCTTTGTCTGTTATCAACCTTTTGATGCCGATGTGGTTCACAGATGTCATCAGCCATTCCTTTGCTCTGTTGCTTTTTTGTTGCATTTTCCAAGACTGTAGGTTGGGAAAGAGGGAACTGGGAGATTCATCAGTGTGGGAGCACTTATTTCAGCAGAGAACTACTTTCCTTCTTGAATCATTGTGCTTCTTGTTTAACTTAATAACATAATGATGGCCAGGTGATAATGACATGGTTTTCAAAAGAAAGTGGGAAAAGAGGGAATTTAAGGCAAGCATAAATGAGCTCATTCTAAGTCCTTTATTTAAAACACAAGTCACTATATGGTTAAGGGGTGAGGGAGATTGACTTGAATGTCCTGGCCAGCCTTAGCTGCTGTTGTTAGGATAAAGTCTCTTAGGCCAAAGGATGTTGTCTCCTAACATTTATGAAGTCCTTAATGACATGGTCTAATACTTTCCTAATACATGACAACTCTGACCCTCTGGGTCTAAATGAGAATACAGAGGGCTTGAGACACCATTGACTTCGCTGGGGAATATGAGGAGTTATTTTTCAGAGCCAAGATTGGTACTGGGTTATTATGGCTCCATTGTGAAAGCGTGTCCTGTCGCCCACTCAGACAGCTTAGTGGTTCCAGGGGCATCATGGGAACCTTTCTAATCTGTAGTCATTATTTTCCAAAGGACAACAGCAATCTTTTGGGACAGTCTACATCCACATCCTATCCTATAGATAAATGCTTTACCAAAGTCATTTTACTGCTAAGAATGAAAAACAAGGGTTACCAAATGTCAAAACTAAATTTATATCCCCCATAATGCCAATTAAAATATTTAAGCCTGGCCGGGCGGTGGTGGCGCACGCCTTTAATCCCAGCACTCGGGAGGCAGAGCCAGGCGGATCTCTGTGAGTTCGAGGCCAGCCTGGGCTACCAAGTGAGTCCCAGGAAAGGCGCAAAGCTACACAGAGAAACCCTGTCTCGAAAAACCAAAAAAAAAAAAAAAAAATTTAAGCCTGTAACTAAATTTGGGATTCTTTTTTTTTTTTTTTGTTTTTTTGTTTTTATTGTAATTATTTTTTTTTAATTTATTTTAATTTATTTTGCAATACAATTCAGTTCTACATATCGGTCACGGATTCCCTTGTTCTCCCCCCTCCCGTCCCCCTCACCTTCCCCCCAACGCCCCCCCCCCCCATTCCCATCTCCTCCAGGGCAAAGCCTTCCCCACAGACTGAGGTCAACCTGGTAGACTCAGTCCAGGTAGGTCTAGTCCCCTCCTCCCAGGCCAAGAAAAACAATCCTGCATACCCCATTGCATGAGTTGGCTGTTTGAAATTTGGGATTCTTGAAGAATGAACTTTATCTATAGGTTTATTATCACCAAATGTTCTACATATAAATATATTACCTTGAATCCTGAAGTGAGTTTTAAAAACTATATAAAGGGCTTAGTTTTCCTTTGAACCAGTGTATTCTACAGATAACATAGATATTAAATTACATGGTCTCCTCATCTATTGTTTTGAAAGAAAAATGTAGATTTTGTATTTTATAAGATTTTTTAAAATACAAGCAGCAGTCTCTGGTGAGGTAGTATTGCTATACATTTGCATTGTTATAGAATTAAATTATGGATTCTGTCATTCAAAAAAGAATGCTTTATAAATCAAGTAAAATCTCATAACTAAGACGAATAAGTTTTTTTTTTAATTTTATGCTTCCTCATATCCCATGCTTTGGTTTTATAGCACAACTTGATGTGATTTTTACACTTGCATTTATTTTTTCTTTTGCTATTTCTGTGTACTGTTTTTGCTTTGTGAAAATCTCATTAGTTTCTGGGAAAAAAAAGAAGCTTAAGGAAAGTTACTATTTGTAATGGACAGTAATATAAAATCATAAAGGCATGTTCAATTTTTTTCTCTCTGGGTTGGCAGAAAATGTGCCAGATACACTGTACTTCCTTCCTTTCTTTGTTCTTTCTCTTTCTTTTATTACAGTAAATGTAAATTTTGCTAAAATTCTGTAATTTTTAGCAAATGCTAAAATCCCAATTAGTCCCCTGTCTTTCCCTTTAACAGATATTCTGTTGTTTGGACTTCTGAATATAAAAGATGTATTTATATGTTTTTTCTCTTGCAGAGCTGTTTCAAATCATATTCCATACTTACATATACTAATTGTCTTAAGTTATCTACGCTTTGCAACCCAAGGCAATCCTGCTCAGCAGCTGCCTGATTTCTTTTCCTCACTGCTGCTGTGTAACTGCCCCAAACCATAGGAACTGATGCATTTCCCTGAATGTGAGTGAGCAGCAAGATGAAAGATAGGCAAAGGTCGGGAGTAAGGTATTTCCACCTGGTCAAAGGGAAGAGCCCCCGTGCAGCTGCAGCTGCTGAAGAAGAGGACTGAAATTCAGAAGAGAGGCCAGAGAGAGATTGAGATTTCAGATCTGGCAATCACAGGGCTGCCTGCAACTTTGGAACAATTCCCTTTCTCTGGGGAAATGAGATGAGAGAAGAGAACAGGATTTAGGCCTGAGCCTTGGGGAAATCTTTGCTGTTGGGGTCCAGAAGGAGAAGCAAGCAGGATGGCTGAAGTAGAAGCATAAACTGTCATGTTATGAAGGAAGTCACCAAGTGCTATGCATCTTCTAGGCTTTGGATTTTTGAGCCAGATAACTTTAGTTATGGTGCTGGAGGGTGAGTGGTCTAGGCACTGTAATCCCCGTGACTGCCATACCCTTTAAGGAAGGTAAAGTAGATGTAGAACAATGTTTACAGTTTTCTTGGGAAAAGACCCCTGAGATTGTGATTTTAGTGTGGGTGAAAATTTCGTTACAGTCCTTATATGTGTTGAAGTTGTATAACTTTTCCTAAGCTACTTGTATGAATTATTAATGACATTATAATAACATTCCTAACTCTTAGTATGTATAATGTCTTCATTTTCCAGGATTTAACAATAAAATGTAAAGATATATTTGAAGTCAGAATATTATTAGATTTTATAAATTATTTTAATTTAGTTAAAAAATAAATTTACCAGTGGAAGAAACAGAAGGGCAAATGACAGAAAGCAATAAATTTACTTTCAGTTTTTCATACTAGGTTTTAAGTTATACTCTACTTCATAAATATGTGCAATTACCATGCAAGTGTGTGTGTGTGTGTGTGTGTGTGTGTGTGTGTGTGTGTGTGTGTGTATGTGTGTGTGTGTGTGTATCTCGGAATTGATGAAGACTCTTCTACAATGCATTCAAATTTGCATTATATGTAGCTCAGTAAACATTTTGAGTACACACCATGTTTCTCAGTGAAATTGTAGAAATGTCCATATAGAAAGATATTGAAATATGAATGAGTGAATACATATATACCATTTAGAGAAGTAAAATGCATAGGATGTGTTGAATGAAAACTCTTGGTGAACCAACTCATTTTTCTCCTGGGAATTCAGGTAGCCTAGCAACTTGCATTCTTGAGTCCAAAATGAAAAGGTTGCATTTTTTTTCTCCCTTCATCTTCCTCCTCAAATAACTCCATGCACTGTAAAGAATGAACATCTGTGGGAAAATGTTTTACTTGCAGTTGTGCTTATCTTAAAAGGCTTATGGTGGATTTAGTAATCCAAACAAGGTAGTTGTTAGTTGCTTCATGTAAGGGTCATAGTTCAATACAGTGGTCGGTCAAATTAAGACATTGTAATAAACAACTTGTCCTACCACATAATCGGCAGCTGAGTCAGCATTTAGGTGACATCAAAGGCATGTGGGATTTTTGTATTTGATTTTTTTTTAAATGGGTCCCACTCTGTAGCCTAAATTAGCCTCAAATTCATGGCAGTCCTGCTGCCTCTGTCTCCACAATGCTGGAATTACAGACATGAGCCACTATGCATGGTTCAATGGAATTCAAATAGTAGCCTCTCTTGAAAGTGCTTAAACTATGAATAAAAATTGATGAGAATCTGATACTTTAGTTCCAAGTATCTAAATGACCTGAGGACATTGCTGCTAGAACCTGAGGAGCAATGTGACTGCCAGGCATACAGATTTATTCTCAGATTATCAAAACCTCATTGGATTCCAGGATATTTTTCACATCATAAGGCTTTGAGGAAATAAAAAGCTTTCGCGCCTAGAATGTCCTAGGTAATAGAGTACAGAATTTATGTACTTGCGTGTGATTCTTAAATATCCTCCCTGAATTTTCTTAATTAGTTGTACATATGGATCCAGATCCCAATTCTTAAACAAACGATTTTACATTTCTTATTGAAAGATTTTAACTTTTCAATTTCTACTTACATTTTATGGCATACCTTTCCTAATATTTTATGTTCTAAATACAATATGATGCATATCAAAGTAAAGCAAAACAGAGCCAGTAAGAGAATTCTGGAATTAGACCAACTAGATTTTCATTCCAGTTCATTTTTCCATGGCTATGTGCCCATAGGCAAGTCACTTCATTTCTCCTAGCCTCAGTTTCTTTGGCTGGGAGAGGAAGATTTCAGAGTGTCTCTCAGTTTTTACAGGGCTGGTAGAAAGCAAAGGAGTGACTTCATGGGTAGTGCTTGCAACTGTGGGCTCCTAAGAGTTCCGAAAGTTTCTAGTATTTCTTTAGTCATATCAGAATTTTAGATATACTAAACAAAAGTTTGTCTCAACTTTTGCTATAAGGGTCGGTGCACTCGAGAGAACTGCAAGTACCTCCACCCTCCACCCCACTTAAAGTCGCAGCTGGAAATTAATGGGAGGAACAATCTGATTCAACAGAAGACTGCCGCAGCCATGTTCGCCCAGCAGATGCAGCTTATGCTCCAAAACGCTCAGATGTCATCTCTTGTAAGTTATGGCAGAGTCTTTGAAAACTGCCAGTTCATGTGGAGTATTCGGGTTGCTGTATGACTGTTTTCCTAATGCTGGGTGCTGCTGCTCACCAGCTCCACGGCTGTTATCAAAACATATATGCTTACATTGGAATACCTCTGCAGGGTCTTTGGGAAGTTAAGTACTACAAAACTGAGGGCAATTCTTGTGTTCTACTTACCAGTTCAGAGCTGTTCATATGAAGGAAGCAATCAGGTGTGCTTTTAAATAAATTCTCTTTTATAATAATTTCGGATTAGAAATTTTCCAAAAACATGGCAGGGAATCTCCCGTTTTGTTTCTTACCCAGACTTCTTTCTTTCTTATTTTTTGTGAGGTGCTAGAGATTGAATTCAGGGATTTGAACATGGTAGGCAGTAGCTCTACTACTGAGCTGTACATTTATCCTTACACTTAGATTTTCAACAATGAGGGTAATGAAATCTAAGGCCTTATGCATGCTATACAAGCACAATACTACTAGGCTGTAGTTCCCTCACACAATGTTAATATATTCTGTTACCATTATAGATGTATCAGAACCAAGAAGCTGGTATCCAAGTATTATTATACACTCTAAGTTTTATTCAGACTTCACCAGGTTTTCCATTAACATGATCTTTCTATTTCAGTGTCCAATCTAGTAGCAGCATGGTGCATTTATTTGAATTGTTCCCCTTCTGTCCTGTGGTCTGTGACCATTTCTCAGTTGTTTTCTATTTCCTATGAGCTTGACATTCAAAAATATAATTAAACTCTATCTATTCATATTATGCTTTTGAGAATTAATCTTGTCCTAACACCTTAAAATACAAATTTGTGTTTTAGTCTGGCACCTCTCCGTGGAAATTGAAAACTGTCCCCTCACTGCTATAGTTCTTTGCGTCTCTGATTTAACTCAGTGGTTTCTCATTCAGATTCTAGCTAGCATACTTCCTTTTACCCATTAACAAGACCAATTTGAAAAGACTGTGCTTCCTTTGTTACCTGTACATCAGTGACTGTGGCTGAAAGTTGAAAGTTGTCTGTAGCATTTAGATGCAGTGAAAATATGGGAGTGGGACAATCTGCTGTGAGTAAAGCTTATCTCATTACAAAATTGATTCTCAGACTTCAAGGAGCAGCATGTTGATATGGTCTTCTAACTAGCATATCTGTTTACTAAGTCCAACCACAGGAGGCTATTGAGTACTTGATGTTCTTTATGATACTCTGTCTCCAGAATATCTAGACAGATTAAGGTAAGATAGATTTCATGGTCTGCATCATCAATTTGCCAAATATGTTTGCCTTCTAACTCAGTGATGATGATTATGTTGATCAATTAATACTCATGTAATCAATGAGCTCTTTAGAGCTCACTTGACCTTCAGTAATACTTCACATGGTCCAAGTACTTGTTGAACTCTTCTGGGCTCTTATGTGATGAAGCTGTATGGGAAGATACTGGGAATAATGTTCACACAGAAAAGTAAACATGTTTGTGAACCCAGAAAATGTGAGTACTTGGGAATAAACCAAAGGAATTTTTACTATTTTTCCACTTTATTGTGGTATAATTGACAAAGTGTATATACTTAATGTATAAATGTGATTATTTATACATATAACACGTATGTGCCTTATTTATAAAATGAGACAACATGAATTAACCTAAAGGATATTATGCCATGTGGGACAGATCAGATTGAGAATGACAAATACTGAATGGTTTCACTTATATGTAGAATCTCAAAAGTGTTGAATTCATAGAAACAAAGAATAGATTATTGATAGAGGCTTTGGGTGGGGTTTGGGGTGGTGGTCAAATTTTGACTATGACAAAGAAATATTTAATTCACCATTACTATTCTCAGCCACTTATGGGAATGAGCAAGGAATGGAGCAAGATTTTACTAACATTTGAGCCCATTATATCCTATAATGCCAGAGCAGATATTTTTTCAAAGGTACAGCTTTAGAGCACCAGTCAAATGCCCTGTTGCATGGAATCAGGGAGCCAGGCATAGGGCAAAGTAGGGGTAAGAAAGAAAGACAACCAGATGGTGGTGGCACATGCCTTTGGTCCCAGCACTCAGGAGGCAGAGGCAGATGGATCTCAATGAATTCAAGGCCAGCCTGGTCTACAGAGTGAGTTCCAGGACAGACAGGGCTGCTGTGCAGAGAAACCCTGTCTCAAAAAACCAAAGGAAAAGAAAAAGAAAGAAAGAAAGAAAGAAAGAAAGAAAGAAAGAAAGAAAGAAAGAAAGAAAGAAAGAAAGAAAGAAAGAAAGAAAGACAACTATATTCTTTCTATTCAGCCTCTGAGACCCTTTCTGTTCCAACTCCCATGTATTAATGGTTAAAATGGCTCCTAATGGGCAAATAGGAAGTGGCATTGTAAAGGAAATGAGGAAGACAATCGTTGAATTTTGGAAGTTCTTCTCTTGTGCTTTCTAATTTGGTTCTCCATAAGTGTAATAATAAGCTGTATTTTCTTTATTCTTCAGTGGGGTAATAACAGATCTCAGGCTTCAGAAGATAACTGATATGACTGAACAAAGTACAATTTACTTTATGGCATGTTACATTATATAAATATTACATGGAAGACCCCAGGGAACAATTAGGAATTTTTTCTACCTCATATTATTTAGTGATAGCTGTTGTGATATAATAAGTTAATATAGATTAATTTCTGCAGCTTTTATGTGCATAAAAATCTAATCCTAAGATGGTTGATATGCTCCTCCTCTATGGTCTAGGAACTAGCTTTTGTAGATCTGTTGTAATTGAGCTAGTGTGTGCAATTTTAGGTGTAATTTACCAGTCTCATTTGGAATAAATCTCTTTAATATGAATCCCGATCTCAATAGTACAAGGTAATGTATAATTTTGTTTAATTTCTGTGGTATCTACTTTTCTTATGAACTGCTCTCTTTATCTCTTTTTATCACCCCCTTACTAATAATTTGATACCTGTTCTTAGAACAAATTTTGTTTAAAATTTTCCAGACCTGTGTTTGTGTGATAACACATTAATAACCATTTGTATCACTGGCTTGAACCTCAGGTCTTTCCACAAAGCATACTCTGATTTGTTTCTAAGATACCAAGAGAGTGCATCTGCCTTTGGAAAATTGAATATAGCTTGCTTATTGTAAGCCCCTAGATAAAGGGAAGAATGTCAGCCTACAAAGAATGAGAGCAAGAGAATAGATTCTGTTCAGTGTAACTGAACAATGAATAAAAACCACACCTAGTCAATTTAGGTGGAATGCTTGCGATAGCAGGCAAGTTTGTTCTGTGTTTAACAAGTCTGCACTGACATTTTCTACTGTAAAGATCTACCTTTGAAAGCTTTTTGTTGACTTTATTAAGAAAGTTTAGCAGGTAGAGCAAACAATGTGACTCCCTAGCATTTTCCAGTGCATTTTAAAAGCCATTGTTTTTTATGCTCAGACTCTGTTTGCATTGTGAGGAAGCAAAAGAACACTGTAAAAGAGTAGTAGAAGTAGACACACTAAAAAACTCTCAAATGAAGCAAAAATTTAAAAAATCTCAGCTTCACAATGAAGAATTTTAGTGATAGATATTAATTTTCACTACTACAGATGATGTACGTACATATAAAGTAAATATGATGCTGTAAGACTGCACATATTTTTCTTTAGACATTTTATATACCTGGATCTGTCAATATCAGGAACTTCCTTTACTTCTTTGAATTTAGTAATTGCCATGAAAGCAGATCCTGATGAACAGGTGACCTTGACCTAGTGGAGTACAGTCACCTGATGATTTACATAGAAGGTGTTGGCTCAGCACATTTGAGGTCCCCTTGCAGTATGCCAAGCCCTCTAATTCTGCCTTACACTTTCCATGACTTTCGTTTTGACTAAGTTAAGGAGTCGAAACCACAAATGTTATAAACCATTCCATACTTTACCTTTCATCATGGGTATCTCAGGTTGAGTCATACAATGTCTGTTGGGACCCATGCCTATCATGTTAAATCATAGTTATATTTAATAAATATAATTCTCTAAAGCAGTATCATGTGTTAACATAATAGGGACTGAAGTAATTATTGTAGCCCTTCAAAAAGAAAGAAAGAAACAAACAAACAAAAAACTGGAAGTTGAAAGGGGGTGTACTAATTAGCTGTGTGCTAATAATTGTACACTCCAGTGTTTTTGTTGTTTATCCTCTTAATGTTTGGACTTGAATGATTTTAAGTAAGTGCAAATAAAGTTGGAAAATATTTATTTACTTATCAATTTTTGAAAATCAGTAAAGAACTTACAATTTGAACATAAGAAAATCTCTCACAAGATATCCTCATTTTGAAATTTTGTGTTAAAGTTACAAATGACTTTGTACTTGACACAAACTCACTTCATCTACTGATATGTTCATGCCATAAAGAATAGTTATTGTCATGATCCTTTTATAAAATCCTGATGACAAGATGGGCCAGATATTTTCTGGATTTAATGGAAAAGGAAACTATGTCCATTGTTCCAGAACAAGCTGGTATTAAAGTAGAGCCAGTGAATGCCTGTTTCAAACTCCTATAATACTGAAGGCATAGATACTCAGATCCAGAATTGGCTACAGTGTAGTTTATTGTGAGACTTCATGACAGATGTGTAGTCATGAATGGCAGCCAGATCAGTTAGAATCCTGAGATTTGTGTCAGAAAGAACAACATATATAGTGGTTGAGTGAAACATGATTTTACTCTAGGAAGAATATACCCAATTTATTATAAACCATTACCAGAATTTCTAGCACATTCCCACTTCCATGCTCAACCTGTAAAGCACCATGTAACTTTCTAATGGTTTTATCTAGTTATATTTTGCTGAGAAACTAAACAAAAAAAAAAGTCTAGTAATGACTCTAAGGAGATCATGATTGTCCTGACTCAAAATGGCTTTGATCATGTCACCTCAAACTGAATCCATACATCCAACAGAATTCAAATTTATTTT